CATTCATAATTTGTCATGCCAAAACACACAATACGGGGATTGACAGTGCGTGCCCTCAGTTTGCACTTTTTCACTTAACTGATTCAACCACATGTCACACTCTTCCCCTTTTGAGCGGCCCGACACGTCAAATCCAGTTTCTCCCAAATTGTCGTAACGACCCCCCATACCTGCCGCCCAGATGCTTGGACCGTCCTTCATCTGAGATGGAGCACCATCCTGAAGAAAGAAGCTAAAAAGAAGCGTGAAATACTGCATGAAATATATTGGGTTATGGATGCCCCAGGGATCCAAGTAAGGTACTTTAGGGTTGTAGATGCACTACGGATCCCAAGTAAGGTACGACTGGACCCTCCTGGCACCTACATAACAGCGTCTCCTTTCTCACCGTACCTGAGAAAACACTTGGATCCCTGGGGATGGAAAATAGGTTGGGCCTATCCTATTACCAGTAATTAACCGTGGACGACGATGGTTGACTTGCAGGGCTTCTCTAAAGTCGTGCTCATTGTCTACCGACTGTGTAATAGGGCGGGCCCAAGGTTAGGGATGTTGAAGGTCGGAACCAAATACAGAAGAAACACAGGTTTGCAAAGCAAACTGCTCAGACATCCAATGATGTTCGAGCAAGGCTTCCAGAACTCCTCAGTAAGCGTTCCGAGTGACCCAGCTCCCTGTTTCATCGGGAAGAAGAAGGGATACAGTATCATATCCCCCGCGACGGCCCGCCGTCTCTGTCGCAACAGAGTCTGGCGAGGAAGCACCACGGTGCAGCAGAAAAGGTGGATGCACCGTGATGAATTCAAGCAGCGGCCAACATGGACAATGTACAGCCGAGTCTTACCAGTTCATTGCGCACTCAAGGCCCTATCCACAACTCCAGCCGCATCTCGACCTCATTTCGTGGGTTTGTTGATGCTTGTCGTACACCCCCCTTCCAATCAACTTCTCTCTCGCCGTGGACGCCGGTTCCACGCCGTCCCGGGACGCCCGGACGCTCCGAGTGCAGCGGGCTCAGCACCACCCGCGTGCCCTCCGGCCGTTCCCCGAAGGCGGCGGCCGCCGTCTGCAGCGCGCGACCTCCGGTCGTGGCCCGACGAACCGATTCGGCGCGGTGGCGCGGGTGGCGCGGCAGGGGTGCCGGAGCCGGACTTAGAGCCCAAACACTCCATGGGACTGTCATATGTACCGATCAGGCCAGGGGTGGTGCCACAGGAGTCTGTCTAGGGCGGCAGTCCTATATGGCAGTCCCATGGAGTGTGTGGGGAAGGACACCATAAATGACGCCATCTGAAGGATGGGTCCTGGATCCGATCCCGGTCGAACGGACCGCATTGCTCAATGCCCTGCTCAGTGCCTTCCACCACTCAAACAGGGCAAAAGAATGGCCCACCCAAAAGGTGTAGGTCAGCTTCTTCGGGCCTTTGGCTTAGCCCAGGCCCTCCAATCCCCACCGGTTCTCCCATGAGTTCCCACCTTTTTCAAGGCTCATCCACCAGCAGTTCCACATCGGACTGTTCAGCCCCATCCAGTGACAGGGATGTTCAGCCAGGTGCCCCCGGAGGTAGACTCAGGTAGACACTCGCCGAACTCGTGGTTTCTGCATGTCAGGATCATGCGTCATTGGGGTGGGGGTCCAAAAACGGGCCTTCGTTGACCACTGAACAGCCTTCAGAGGTCAACCCAGAAGGGACTCTAGGACTCAAGCTGACTCACAACCATACCCAGATACTCCGAGAATGCCATATATGCCTATATACATTGACCCCCCAAAACCACCCTATATATGTCGGCATGACATGGCAGTCCGGTGTGTCTGGCATCTATCTCCTCACCCATCGGCTCCCCCCCCCGCGTCGCCGGGAGCGAACGGCCCGAACGCCGAGGGGCTCAGGGGCGAAACGACCAAGAGCTCGCAATCGGCGAAGATCGGCATCCCACGCAGTCCTCGGGCGTCGTGTCTACACGGCGACGGGGCGGAAGCCCGGGCCTTGTGGAGCGTGAATTCACGGGTTTGAGGGTATAGAAGATGGGGTTTTTTGGGGTGGCGTGCTGGGGTGGGTGGCACTACCTGACTTGAAACTCCGAGCTACTCTGTGGTGAATGTGCTGCGCTACCCGCTTGACCTCGGCGACCAGGCATCTACTGCCCGCCGTAATATCTATCTCGGACAAGCACCACAAACAAACCCCCCAAAAAGCAGCCAAACGCACACATGATGAGATATTTTCAGCCGCTGCCATGGTCAAAATATGTCAAAATCCCTCTTCGCATGTGGAACACATCATGCCCTCATCAACATGTCTCAACCTTATGGAGCGCCCCTTTTAGTTGTTGTGATACAATGCTCATACCTGCGCCCTGCGCCCCTTTCTGCGCAAACTGCCTCATCTGTCCAACGAAACCCGCGATCTGTCCAACGAAACCCGCTAAGACTTTCCTCTGCGCCCAACTCTGCTTGCCAAGCTGCGCGCAGCCTGCGCCAAGCCCAGCTCGCTCAGCAGGGGATCGCGGGCGCCCGTGTCCCGCTGAGCGGCGGCGTTATGCCTTACGCGGTCCGTGCTGGGCTGCCCCAAAGAACTCTATGGCAGGAAGTGTTTTCCCTTAGGCAGGTTGATATATGTTGATATGTTTGGATTGGGGGTTTTTCGGACTAGCCCCAAAACGCTCAATTGGGGTGGTTTAGGGGTTGAGTCTGGGGGGGTTCTGTTCCCAAAACATGCGCGTATATCTGGGTATATATTGGTCTGGGGTTCACTGGGCTGAGATGGCGCATCATCCAACAACCAAATGAGGCTCAAGGAGTGAACATTCCCGGTTGCTTCACTGAAGCCGGCCAAATAGAAAAGGAAACAACTGAAGGTCGTGACCCCCTTGAAGAAACCAGGTCCCTCACTACCGAACAAGTGGCTGTATCATGCTGTAATTATCCAGGTTCCATGAGGTGGTGCACCGCAAGAAAAATGGGCACATGTGGAAACACATGGTGTTCTTTGGTCCAGGGATGATCAAAATGAATGGATGTAGACGGCCTGAATGGATGTAGACGGCCTGAATTCATTCAAGGACTAACCCTAATGCCGCACAGCACGCCCTAACCCAGCCTGCACCTCCTGCACACCTGCTTGCCCTCCTTGCCTGAGTTCATCACAATCCAACACAGCCAGTCGAAGCATCGACCGTCCCCGCTCCTGGCGATCAGAACCGGCTCGCCTGCTCTGGCCATGGCGCAGCAGCAGCACCTGCCGCCTCAAGCTAGGCGCCTCACCTCACCCGTGTTCGTCGTGATTTGGTGATCAGGACGAAGACGAAGACGAAAAGGTTTAATGTGAAGCCGGTCTCTCTTCAAAATCAAGGGGCTGTGGTTGTGAATGTTTGGCTTTAGTTGATGGGTCAAACCTTGCGGATGAGGTGATCTTAGGATCCATTGCTTATGGGCAAGACTGGATACGGTGATCATTGCTTCTTGGCAGAAATTCTGGAGCGAAAGGACTGGAATACACAGGTTGGTCAACTTTGGAAACCACATATGCAGAAATCATGCCCGCCTTCTCCAAACAACAGTGCAATGGGCAGTGGCTTGAAGCAAAGGGATCAATCGCTAGAACAGTGTTGAGCAAGGACCCGTCCAAACTATAAACAACATCAACGGTTTTCTATGCGATTCATAAAAGACACCAATTCTTCGTATGCAGTTCAAAAGGAAGGAAGGAATGGTTCCTATATAATCCTATATATATTCCTGTGATGGCTTGTAGGGCAAAACTGCAGATGTTTGCCAGGGGTTCGGTTTTTGTGCAGGTATGATTATGGGACGTTCATACCTTCATAAGGCTGCTCAACTCTCCCACCATGTCCACTTCTGCGAAAGCCAACTCTGCCGATCACCAGTCACTCGTCTGCTAGGCTTCCTCATGCGTCTCCCGACTGAGAACCGCACCTGTGCTCATCCCATGGCCAAGATCTGCTACATCCACCCCATAGGGCCGACAAGAGCTGAGTGCAAGCCGAGCTTAAAGCTGAATGCCGATCTGGGCGACCCAGAAACACGACGGACGGGGTCAGGTCTTGAATGCCGATCGCGGATCAAGCTACTAATCATACCATATCCCATCCAAAACCCAGGAAAGTAGGTTGTTTAAACCAAGCAAAGACCCAAAACACCATGTTTCAAAACTCACACCTCATCAAAACCCTAGAGCAATCGATTCAAAACCTGTTCGAGAATCAGAGCATTTCATTGGATCGTGAAAAACGGCCTTCAATGCAAACTTGGCCAACTCATCCGTGAAGGATCTAAGCCCAATCAATCCCAATCAGAAGCCTCGAACACCTACAGCACCATGCACACGCTCGGTTTCTCTCTCGCAAGGTTCAGTGCAACCCTTAGTGGCCGACCTAGGCAAGCAAGATTCGTCAGTGGCAGCTGAGTCTAGGCAGCCGGTCGAGGAGTCAAGGGTCTCCAAAAGAGATGAGTGATGAGCAACTAGGCTTTGCGCCGTGTACTCTGAAGTTGTTATGATTTTTCTGGATTACCCCACAATCTCCCACAGTTTCGCTGGTGCCTGATTGTCGTTCTGGCGTCCGTTTGAACAATGGCCCACAAATGGAAGCAAACCAAACTTCAAACACAATCTGCAATTTACAAAGTACAAACTATAGAAAATTTATCCTGCCAACCGCAGTGCAAAAGTATTATTCACATGATATTGTCATAAACCCTGAACTCTGTTCTTGCGAGTCTGTAGTTAATCTATTCTGAGATGGCGCCACTGCAGCCCAGCAAACAAAACAATCAGTGACGTTAGAAATGAGATACCCACCGTCTCCAGGCATCCCCAACTCTTCAGTCCACCCACCTGGGCAACGACTTTTGCTGGCATTGGCATTGGGACTGTCGCCCAGCATGGAACTGTACAGGAAGCATCGTCGCTTCAGGTCCACATTCGTCACTTGGATGCGCAAGCACCCCAAACGCATCCCAAGCATCCCAACGTCAGCTAATTAAAGCCCAGCAGTGAGGCAAACCATGGCCATGACACTCGTCTTCTCTTTGTGTCTGGTGCTGATGCTTCGGCCGTGGCTGCAGATGCTTGCGCTGCCGTAGATGTCCGCGCGTCACTTGCTCTCGACGCTTGCGCCGCAGGCCCTTGCCCTGCTGCTTGGCTCGGCGCGGGCAGCGGGGGTGCATCCTCCAGGGCTGGCTGGGCCGCCACGGCCGGTGTGATGGCGAGCCGCTGGGGAGGCGGCTGCTTCCCAATCCTCAGGTTGAGTGAGGCTTGAGACAATGTTTACTTGCTGAGTTGCCATGCCAGGGCAGCTGAGCTGCTCTTGTTACGCGCCTCCTAACCTTCTACTACAACCCAACCCAGCCAGTGACTTCCGGAGTGTGACCGGAAGCTTCGTATCTGATTCGGTGACCTGAGAGCTAAAACATTTGCCTTTCATCCACCAGGCTCATCAAAGATATATCGTATCGAGTCACTTAAGGATGAACACGTTGTAAATCACAACTTGTTCCAACACACCAAACAAACGCCAGAGTCTCTGACAACGGCTTCTGTCAAATCGGGTGGTATAAAAACTGGTTCGCTACAAACCTGGCAGCTTTCCGGCTTTCACATGGACCAACCCTGCCAACTCCTGTCATCAGCTCCCAAGGCGCAATCGACGTGTAACCGGCGGAGCCTGGAAGTGACATGAAGCCACATGGTTTGATGGGTTTGGTTTCGGGCCGCTCGGAACGTATGGCTTGTCCCTTTCATCATGGACAGCGAGCAGCCTAAACTACCAGTCCGACGAATGAATTTGAGGTCTTGCATAGTCTTGCTGTTGATCACCCAAGGCTTTCCTTCCATAAGAGTGAACCAAACAAACACTTGATCTACAGTAGCCGGCTCCCTCCCACATGTGCACGATCGAGTCTCCAGGTCCGTGGGACTGTGACATTGGCTTTGGGGCTGCTCGCCCGGTTGTTTGGATTTCGCCTGATCCTTTGATCTGGCTAGTCCATCTTGCCCCAGAAAACGTATGTGCCATATATGGCCATATATATAATATATAAACAAAATTCACCATGGCATCATTCTGTCCAAGCACGGCTTGCAGTGGAGACGAGGGTTGCTTCCAAGTCAACCGAGTCAAGGACGCTTCGATCGTCCAGCTCTCCTGCAGGGCTTCGATGAACGCCACGAGCTGCAGCGACGCATCAGTCGAGGCTGCGCAACGGCGACGGGCCAACCTCACCCCACAACGCCGGGTGTGCGCAAAGGAAAACAACCAGCAGAGGTTGAAGAACCCTATATGGACCATCCTATAGGTACCCCAGTAGGGTCCTATAAGGTCACTGAACCTCTCTTGCTAAAACTACCCTGACTCGAGACTTTGGCTTCTCTGAACTGAGAGACTGCATTACAAACAGGCCACCTGGTCTATCCAATGGGACTGCTTGCTGCTGTCGATACATGTCGTAACCAATGCCCGGCAAAAACTGATTCAAAAAAAGGAAGTGTCACGTATAATCTCTGAAGGCCTAGACTGCTGGAGGGCCACACCGGCTGACACCCACCATCAAACACGCTGAGTTGCAGCTCTTCTTTCTGCCGCTTCTGCTCCGGGGAGACAGCAGCCTTCCCCGACGTCCTCGTGGCCGCGCGAAGCCTGCGAGCAACCGGCGTTTGACCCAAGGGATCCCAAAGGATTGACCTTTAGAGTTGGCCAAAACCCTGCAAAGGTCTTGACAGAGATGTGGGAGTGGGTCGGTGGTCCAAAACCGCCATTTCACCCATGCCCAGACACAGACATTGATGAAACGTTTGTTGATTCCCCATTGAGCAACTTGGGTCTGATTTCTTCCATCGCATAAATAGTCCCCGGGCCCTCTTTTTTGTGATTCCGCCCATGCTTCTTCATCGCTGGTGCGCATCCGCTACGTGGACAAAATAGCGGACATGCCATATTTCCTTGCAAAGCCCTAACAGACATGTTTTCCAACACCATTTGACATCTATAGAATACACATCGAAGGATACCAACATTTTGCTGATCATAATCCCAACCGGTTTGGGCCCTATCTCGGCCCAACGCTCGCCCGTTTTCGGGCACCTCTGGCCAAAGTCGATGGCCGTGTCGATGTCACACGTCTTGGCGGTGACTTTCCGGACGCCACATCCTCACCCAGGACATCCCAGGACTTCGGGTTCTGGGATTGGTGGGGTTCTGGGGATCCAGGATGAGAACGCTGGAGTGGAGTGTAATAGCACTGCAGTGTACTGCCTGAACGTTCACCTTACAGGATGACACATGAAATGAAATGCAATCAGTTCATCCCCATTGAATCATTGTGGCGGTTGTCATGAGGATACAAAACCTGCCCCATCCTTATTGATTCATCGTGGCCGGTGTCATGAGGATACAAAACCCGCCACCTCACATATCATGACTCACTGTGTTTTCGGGTCCTGCTTCGGCAGTGAAGAACAAGAGCGCCGACGACCGTCCAAAGACCTTCCAGGCTTCTTCCGGAACAGCGCCGTCGCCACGAGCCTCTCGCCGCGCTGCTCCGGCCGCACCCTTGAGAAGCATCAGTTCCGATCGAACTTCCAGCACTTCATCCAGGTCCTGGCTCTCCTCTGTCTCCAAGATCAAACCTTGAGAGGACCTAAGAGATCCAAATTTGCTCAAGGAACGGGCTTGGAACATCTTGGAATGGAACGGATGTTGAGCAGCCACCGGAACGTCACACAGAATACAAGATGAATTGCATACAGCACGCCTGAGAAAACACCTCTTGAAATCTATACTCTCCACGTGGGATCTGCTTGCGCAATTGGACTTTCTGCGCAGGGCCTCACTCTGTGCCATGGTTGTGGGGTCAGACGTCATAGATGTCAGCCTACCGGATTTTGGTGTGCTTCATGACCCACACCCAGCCCCTTCGGTGTATCTAAATCTGAGAACCGAATCACGAGGAACCATGAACTGACCGAATCACGCAGCCCAAAGCAACTCAAGAACCTCTGATACATGGTGTTTCCTGCATCTTCATGCATCTTTCAGTTCGAAGGCCCTCTGCGGATCATTATGGAATTTGAGCCTGCCATATTGGAACAACCCTTTTTTTGGCAATAAGGTTAGGGCGGGCAAAGTGAACTGTGCCCAGGAACATTCGCAAGTGATATCGGATCTGGCCGTGCTTCACCTTCCGCATAATGCCGCGGATGGTGGCCTGACGGGAAGGGCGAGCGTGGAAAGGAGAGGAGGCGACGTAGAGGCACCATGGAGCCCGCTCACTCACTGATCCTCTCTGTTCCGATGCCAATTGGTCAACGCCACTGCTACAAACCTGTGCACCCGTGTGGTGTTCCAGGTTTGTGATCCTCGAAAGGATTCGAAAGGTAAATGCAACATTTAGTTGACCTGCAAAGGGTGCTTGCAGCCTAGTGTGAACTTGTGAAATACTGTGAGCATGGTTGTTTAGGTGGCAGACGTTGTTCTCACCGGATTTTGTGCATGAGTTCGTGCATTCTATTTCGGAAGTCGGGTGATGGGTTTCGCGGGGTTTCGTGTTGGTTGACGGAAGAGTGGTCGAACTACTGAACTACTTGGTCAATCCACTCGAAACCGAAGGGCCGCCAAACAAAAAAAACATCAGCAAACACTTCTTCAACTCACCCGCTTGTAGCACGAAAATCATCAAGAACCTGCATGATCATCCATCCGACTATCGATAACCTGACTCCCCCCTTCATCCTTCATAAATCGTCCAAACGCACGTGTCCCCACACCCTCGCCCATCCGAAGACATCAAGCCACTGTCGGTGCATCGGCTGCGCGCTCATCATCGCCTAGAGCCGCCACTGCTCGCTTTCGGCCACGGGCACTGGCAGCTGTGCCCAGCAGCTGCGCCTTCAAAGCCCGCAGCGTCCCAGCACTTTCCCTCCGGAGCCGCGCCTGCAAGATGGAACGCCCCAGAACTGGAGCTCTGACAGGTCAGTGCGCAAACGATTTCATTCAATGTTTCTAGTTTTTTGTGGAAGTGAGCGTGACACAAACAAAAGAATGGGTCCGTCATGGTCCGTCCAATGGTAGAACTTCACGAAGCTAATTTTAAGCGTCATTGGAGACCGTACGTGGTCAAACCCGTTCCCAAGACACGCCTTCCATTCGTCCTTGGCGACATCGTTCAAGATCCTTCTGAGGACCGTTGCTCGCCTTGGGACTGTCCCATCGTTACTTTGCTAGGGTGTGTGTGTGGGTGAGAGCTCCGGGGCGAGTTTACCCTGAAAGGTTCAAGTGTCCTAATAAGGAATCACAAACACGGCTTGGGCGTTGATGGATGGTAGTCGACGGTCGGCATCTATCTCCAACCTCTCAACACGCTGATTGCAACAACTACATCTACACCTCTTCTAATATACCTAGGCTTCTCTAGCCACAAACATAGAGCAAACATCGCAGTTGGTCAAACACAACCAAACACCCACAACTTCCTTCAACTTTGAAACCGGTCCATGCAAGAGAAACATGTCCAAAATGGTGAAACTGAAAGAGCTGAACTCCCAACACTCCAAACCAATTCCACCGAGACTCATGTAAACACTACGCATCACCCCTCTTTAAAGCAATGTCGCAATCCAGGCAAAACTTCTGTTCTCACATGTTCTCACTATGTCACTATTGAGAGGTGGGTTCGGTTGAAGTAGCAGGAAACCAAGCAAAAACTGTACCAGAATGGGGCAAAACATGCGGCCGTGGGGTTCCACCTCAAACTCGGCACTCTTGGATCGGTGTCGGCGATTCTGAGTGCCGAACATGTTGTGCCCCGCCCCCCTTTCGCAAAGAACAAACCATCTTCTTGAGGAGCATTTGGTCTGCTTCAAAGTCCGAAGTGAATGGCCTGAAACAATGCTTGGTCGAGTTGCTCGCCTTCCAGAGCGCCAAAGGTGTTTGCATTTGGCGCGAGCCGCTCCAGGATGCGGTCGTGGGCATCGGTGAGCTCTATGAAGGTGGCCTTGCTTCCTGGCTCCGGAACCCAGTGGGTGGTTGGACCACCCACTGAGATCTACACCGTTTATGAGCCTGCGGTTGTGCGACCAACTGTTCCACCATATTCCGATGATTTTTCCACCTGGGTGATGTACACCGCGATGTTTACCGTTGGCCACGCAACCGTTTCCATGAGCAAAGCTCTTGAAACTTGGCAACACACACACACATCAAATGCTCACACTGATTAACAAATGTGTAAAACAGCTTGGTTCAAAACATGCTGAACACCGCTTCTAATTCACCCCGCATGAAGGATGCCAAGCCTGTGTTTTTGGAACACCTCAAGCCAGTGACACGCCCTCGACACACACAACCAACATTATGCCAAACAATATGCCCAATTAGATCTAGCTCGGCACTCGGCACCCTAGTTAAAGAGCCTTAATGGACAACTGTGAGGGGGTGCAGAACCTTTGGCAACCCTTCTGGTGTTTTTCCCACGTCCTTCTCCGCTTTCCCCCGTTCCTCTGCCCAACTCGAGCCTCCCGCTTTGTCGGGGTGGACCATGAGTGCTCTAGTTCGGTAAGCTCTCCTTGGTGGCAGTGGGCCGCCAGTTGGGGTACAAATGGGTACAGTATAGATCTGGTCTGATGCAGGTCGAGAATGCGCGAACATGGCGCAATCCAGGATTTGCCCCGTCTCTTTTTCCTCCCTCTCCCTCCCTCCCTCCCTCCCTCCCTCCCTCTCTCTATGTGTGTCTCGCTCTCTTTCATGTTCTGTCTTCATGTGATGTCGACCAATGAGAGGATCTGGGATTGAGGCCCCTCACCAAGTTACATTGAAAGCCATGGACCATTGCAGGTTGCACACCCCATTGCGAACAGTTGCTTAACCACTTAACCTACCGCAAAGACTTTTTGGAACGGATGCCTGTGCTTCTCAACAAACTTGCATTTCTTTGTCAAAGGCTTGCAGCTGCAGTTGATATATTATTAGTCCGGATCCCGTGAAGAAGAAAACCTCCAATGTCTGCACTTTCCATGCCCTTCATTCCTCCATGCCCCTCCTCCCAGATGTCTTTCTCGAAGCATCTTCACCTCCGGCACGCTGGCTTCGTGCGACAGGCCCAAGAGCGCCAGGTCCTTGGCATGGCTACTCGGCACCGGTCTGCCCACTGGTGCAGCCGGCGGCGCAGCCGGCGGTGTAGCCGCGGCGCCGGTTGCGACCTTTGCCCCACAGCTGGGGCAAGCCACCGCTTGGTCGCCTGGGACGGTCGCTGGGACCAAATGTGAGGAGCATTGGTCTCAGATCTTTTTCACAAAAAGGTGAATGGACCTGAATGGAGATGAATGGAATCTGTCCTGATCAGATCTGATCAGCAGGGGACAACTTGAGGAAAAACATCCCTTGTACCAACATGGGGACCCTGCTCCCACCTTAGGAGGAGGATGGTCATGGTCAACGAGACCTACAAGTCCTACAGCACTTCCTACAGCATAAAGTGATGATAAGACAATGAGTTGTCAGAGTTTAGCCGGTTTAGGACCATCACACTCTTGTCATATACCGAACTACAGCTACACCTCCCATTGGATCCGCAATTGTTCGAAGAGTTCAGGTGAAATGGAGTTCCAAATTTCTGAGCACTCTACCTGTACAGCCTGGGAGTGCAAACTCATTTTATACATAACGCCAATGCCCCCCCCACAGCCGATTCTCCACGGTCCGTGTCTTTCCTTCACTTCAATCCGTGCTTTTGCATTGAGTTGGATGGTGCAAAGGGAACAAAACAACTCTTGTGGGCCGCTCATGTGTCAACCCCCAAGACGGGACACGACACGGCATTTTCTTGAAACAACCCGTTGTGATGTCATGAATCCACCCATGGATCTTTTGAGCGCGCTCCTCGCATTCCGGACGAACAGCCGAAGCCTATGCTCGTGTAGTGGTCCCCAAATAGAAAGTGGCACGGTGTCCAATACATGTTGACAGGGATGTGTGCTTTTCTATCTATTTGGGGGTCTATGTGTTTGAACAGAGTCCAGGGGCGCTTTTTGCACCTTCTTCCGGCGACCTCCTTCGTCTCGGGAGACAACGTGGCACCGGTGCCACTGGCACTAGTTTCTGCAAGTCGCGAGTTCAACTCACAAAATCCCTCACAATAGCAGGCCCCTGGCTGATTCATTGAAAGTGGGTATTGTCGGATGCGGGCACTGAGAGGCTGCTTCGTCCAGCAATCCACCACCACCAATATTATTCTTCCAAAGTGCCTCTGGGAAGTTTGCTATCTGAGATATTTTGCAGGGCTTGGAATTGAGGTCATTTTTGGCGCTACCTTCTTTCTGCTGAAACGAACCCATATCGAAAGTGTACGCAGCATGCAGAATCTCACAGATTCACCCACGAACAACTGCAATCGAGGGAAAAACTCCCGCACCAGCTTCGAAAAGGACAAACCCCGGCTTTCGTGCATGCCGGTTCGCAACAGATTCACCCACACACCTGCTCTCAGAGTTTCTGACCTGCGCACGTTCTGCGGATCTGGCGGCTTGGGGGAGCTCGGTTTCCGAGAGGACATGAGAAACTGTGTGACTAGCCATGACTGACCTAATTACCAGACGGTGTCATCCATGTCACATCAACGAATTCATCAAACTCCGGTCGCGTGTGGATTCGGCATCCGCATGCATGAAGGTGGCTCTCAATAAGGCATTGTCCAACTTCGGTACCCTTTGGCATCCTTTGGCCCGCCCCTCGCTCGGCACCGAACCCAAACATACTGGTGACGGGCCCCTTTTTCTTTCGCCCAGTCCGCAGGACGTGATGTGTCGGGCAGGAGCTGTGACGAAGATGGCAGGCGGCCAAACTCTAGATTCAAGGCCCGAGAACTTGTGCCATTCAAGCCCTGAATTCAAAACTTAACAACAGAATCTACCCATCCAGGATCCCGACCCTCAAAAACAAGGTTTTGTGATGTTTTGAGGGTATTTTTTTGGTTATAGAGGCTTCGACCCCTATGGAGGGTCCAACAAGGATCCGTATGGGGTAGAACATATCTAGACCATCTAGATCTTCATGATACCAGCTCCCAAGCCTCTTCGGACTTGGTGCTGGGCAAGTCCTGCGCCTTCATTCAACGTTGTTTTGGCGCAAAACGCTGTGCAAGCGCCCCCCAATAAAACAGAAGTGGCTTGGATTCCAGTGCGAGTGTGTGCAAAAGGCATAGTTTTTTTGGGGCACACACTTAGCTGGCAGCTCTGACGAAGCCCAGTAGCCCTTCATCTCACCAAGACCGCAGCCTATGCGAGCTCACAATCTGGGTCAAAATACTGCGCCAAGGTGTCATAAGTGTAAGGGGTTCGACTGGGATGGACATAGTACATGATCTCCTCACGAGGGCTTTTGCGACCGGTCACGACGTCCTTCAATTCTTCAAGAAGAAAACCACTCGTTGACCTCATCAAGCGACCGCCGGTGACCAAACCGACGATCGCCGGTGACGAACCCCCCCCCCCTGGCCGGGGACGCGAGAACCCGGGACCCGCGACGGGACTCTCCAGGGACGATCCATGAACCCTGACCGACCCGGACCAGGCGGGAGGACGGCGGGTATCAAGAACAGCCAGTCCAGCAGGGAGGACTGGACTGGACGATCCAACGTCGACTCCGGAGACTTCAAGAAAGGACGCTGGGTCATGGTCCTGCTATGTTGGGGCCTGTGTTGTTTTTGTTGAGGGAGTTTTGGGGGGGGGGGTCGGGGTCCTTTGTTCCTATGTGTTTAGAAGTGATGAAGAAATGAGGATGCCCAGGTGGTTTTGTCCCGTGCCGAACTCGATTTCCTCAAGCCTTGCAGTTCCAGCCTTGCCGTCCCTCGTCCCTCACACTCACACGCTTTCGTGCGGAGTCCGGATGGATGGGTTTTCATCACCCAAGATACCCAAGGGGAGACTGAAATCTGTTGGAAAATGCCAAAATGCCTTGAGGTTTGCCCAGTCCCTTGAGGTTTGCCCAGTCCCTTGAGGTTTGCCCAGTCCCTTGAGGT